TAATACTTTCTGATTCCTCATGTGCCTATAGCATTGGTAATTGATGATGCCATGGCCTAGCTTAAAGTTCCTCAATGCTTTCTCATTCTTCTCAGGATAATGCCAAGATCTTTAGCTAGATATGGAGGGAAGGAGTCGCTGAAAAAGTGCAAACATAGAAGCCCAAGTAATCTGGGTTTGAATCCCAGCTCCTCCACTTCTTATTGTATAAGTCACTTTGAACTAATAAAAGTGTAGGAAGCAATTATACACTTAACCAGGTTGTGAAATTTAAATGAGATTATACATGTAATTCACATGCCACATGTGACTTATTTAGCATAGTGTACCTTCTTCCCTTTTGATTTTCATTTCCACTTGAGCTGTGTCATTTTAAAGACAGATAATCACCACAATGGCAATATATACAGGGAGACTGAGGACAGTCTGAGAGAAATCTGAGTGAATGTGTCTCTGGGGAGAAAAATAAACATAAGTTATAGTAGAATAGCTAATTTTATAAGACACCCCCCCCGACCCCCGGCTCACTAAGTGCCAGGCAGTAACTTCTTTGGGTTTTTTTCTTTTTAGAAAACTTTTAGTTTTTATTTATTTTTATTTATTTTTCAGAATATTATAGGGGTACAAATATTTAGGTTACATAAATTGCTTTGTACCATTTGAGTCAAAGTTGTAAGTGTGCCCATCCCCTAGATAGTGTGCATTGTACCCATTAGGTATGAATTTACCCATCCTCTCCTCCCCCCTCCCACGTGCTTCATTTCCATTGGATGTTATTTCCATATGTACACATAAGTGTTGATTGATTAGTTCCAATTCAATGGTGGGTACTTGTGGTGTTTGTTGCTCCATTCTTGTGATACTTCACTTAGAAGAATGGTCTCCAGTTCCATCCAGTTTAATACAAGGGTATTAGTTCACCATTTTTAATGGCTGAGTAGTATTCCACGGTATATATACACCACTTTTTATTAATCCACTCATGTATTGATGGGCACTTGGGCTGTTTCCACGTTGTGGAAACACGTGGGTTGTTTCCATATTCCAATTGTGAATTGTGCTGCTATAAACATTCGAGTGCAGATGTCTTTTTTTTAATAGAATGTCAATTTTTCCTTTAGGTAAATACCCAGTTGTGGGATTGCTGGATAGTTCTACTTTTAGTTCTTTAAGGTATTTGCATACTACTTTCCATAGAGGTTGTACTACTAGTTTGCAGTCCCACCAGCAGTGTACATGTGCTCCTATCTCTCCCCACCCATGCCAACATTTGTTGTTTTGGGACTTTTTGATAAAAGCCATTTTCATTGGACTGACGTGGTATCTCATTGTGGTTTTGATTTGCATGTCCCTGATTAGACATGTTGAGCATTTTTTCATGGTTGATGGCCATAACTCTATCTTCTTTTGAAAAGCTTCTGTTCTTGACTTTTGCCCACTTTTTATTGGGGTTGTTTTTTCTTGCTGATTTGCTTGAGTTTGAATTTTGATGAAGTCCACTTTATCAGTTTTATTTTGTAACTTATGCTTTTTGTGCTATAAGAAATCTTTGCCTACCCCAGGGTCATAAGCATTTTCTCCTGTTTTCTTTAAGATATTTTAAAGTTTTAGATTTTGCATTTAGGTCTATAATGCATTTTCTATTACTTTTTGTTTGTAACATGAAGTTCTTTTTTCCCCATATAAATACCTAGCTGCTACAGCAACATTCGATGAAAACACCTTTTCCACATCGAATTATTTGAGCACTTGTCAAATTTAACTGATAACGTATGTGTAAGTCAATTGTTGGACTCTACCATGTTTTATCTACATATACCTATCATCACTCCAATACCAGTCTTTATTAGTGTAGTTATTTAGAAAGTGTTGAAATGAGGTAATATAAGGCCTTCAACTGTGTTCTTTTAAACATTTTGCCTTAGTTATTCTAGGTCCTTTCAATTTTCATATAAATGTTTGATTAGTATGTCAATTTCCACACAAATGCCTCTGAATCTAAAAATCAATGTGGGGAGAACTGCCATCTTAACAATAAACAGTTCTCCATTTATTATGTGGTTATTGTGTGTTCCCTATTATATGTTCTTTAATTTCTTTCAGCAATTCTCTATAGTTTTCATGGTACAGATCTTGCACATTATTAAATTTAAGTATTTCACATTTTAGTTCATTTAATATTGTAAATGTAACTGTATTTCTGGATACATTTCCTAATCATTCACGGCTAGTACATAGAAATGAAATTTGTTTCTGTATATTAATTTTGTATCCTGTGATCGTGCTAAATTCCCTTATTAAGGTTCTAGCAGCTTATTTGCAGATATGAGCTTTTGAGTAGGAAAAAAATTCTACCACTGAAGACATTGTTTTCCAGATTCTAAAAGTAATATATACTCTTTGATGAGACTTTGCCAAGAATTGTAAAGTATAAAACACTAGAAAGCAAACTCCAATTTTCCCAATATGTAGGTTAACTGCTAGTAATCTTTTGACAAATTTCCTTACAATTTTGGGCAATATTCACTTGTTTTTTACAATGCAATGATTTCTACATATCTGAACTTACTTCATATAGATAATATTTGTCACACTTTTGTATAAGACATAACATCATCAACATTTTTCCCATGTTATCAAACTTTCTGTGCACTTAATTTTAATGTCTGTATAATATTCCATTACAGGGTTATGCCATAAACAAATATTATACTATTGTGTATTTTTATTTTGCAAATTGTGCACTATTATAAGCAATGTTTCAGTGATTATCCACAGATATAAATGTCTCCAAACATTGTAGGTGAGGTCCTTAGGGTGTTAAGAGTAATATTAATAATTCACGCATACAGCACCTACTACATGTGTACGCTTCATACATAACATGTCACTTAATCCATACAACCATCCTCTGAGGTAGAAACTGGTAGTATCATCACTATACAATTGAGGAAGCTGAGCCACAGGTTATCGGAAATTTTGAGAGGCCCAATTAAGGAGCTATACTACTCCCATAAAGAACTACTACTATAATGAAAACCATTGTTATAGGTATTTTAGATGTTTGCATGGTGTATAGGCACCAAGAGGAGCAAAAAGAAATGAAAAACCCAGGACCACGTTATGGGTCTGACTTCACAGAAAACGTGACACTAAGCCAACTCACTTCATCTCAGCTGTACTATGATGAATACGAGTAAGATGCTCTCATGTTCCTTGTAGTTCTCAAGTCTCATGATTCTAATAATCATTTCTAGACTTTTCCTCAGAGAGATATCAAGATCTCTCTGTCTGCTTGGTGTCAACAATATTCATTTATTATTCAACTATCAATCATTGAGCATCTAACGTATATGCTAGAAAATGGCAAATCATGCTCAGTCTCTACACACAAGAAACTGACTTACAGAATAAAATAGAAAATTAAAGCAGATCCTCTTCCTGAATTGTTTTAGGGTTATGGACTTACCAGGGAATCTGAAGATTGGGATCCTCTCCCTAGAAAGGAAAACTTTTGTACAAACAAAACAAATTTACATACAATATTAAAAGTTGTTTATTGACCCTCAGAAATGAAACCATATATCCACTATTTGTCAGTGATTTTCCCAAGCTGGTAAGTTCTGATTTAGGCAAAAGTTAAAAACACGTATGATTGGAAGAGAAGTGAGAACTCAATGAGTTCTTATACACACACACAAGCAGATTTAAATTAAATAACAGACACTAGGTGGGGCAATATTAACAATCACAGCTAATAATTACAGAGGACTTAATATATGTCAGGCACTATCCTAAGCTGTTTATGTTTACTCGTTTAATACTCACCACAATCCTATGAGGTACTATTATTTCTAATTTACAGAGGAAAATATCTAAAAGTTAAGCACAGAGAAGCTAAGCAGCATGCCTAAGATCACTTAGCTAGTAGGATTTCAACCTGGGTAGTCCAGCTCAAGTCTATGCTCTTAACCTCTAAGTTTTCTTTATAAAGATAAAAGACTACCTTGAGAAAGAGAGTGTCTCTGAGCAGTGCTCAAAGCAGTGTCTCATGAGTACACTTGGTCTAAATAGTCCCTGGGTACCTGTTCCCACTAAAATAGAGAGCCCCACTCCCACCCCCACCGATGTGTCCAAATGCCCAGTGTTTCCCTAGGTCCCAACATCCAGGGAATTACTACGTTTTTAACTTCTCAGGATCCTTTATCAGCGTATCTTAAAAAGTAGAACTCTGTGACCCAAAACAACTTAGAAACAATAGAAAAGATTCCTAACAAGTGGTTCTGAACCTTCCTTGATGGTAGAAGAGAAAAACTAGATATCCTTTTTTAATATTTAGAAATGTCTTAAAATAAATATGACAGCAACACTGAATAAACTATAAAACTCATTCATAATCCCACTATCTAACAAATAAATCCTGTTCATTTATCTATAAATACTTTCAATTCTTGCCCACATGCAAATATATTTTAAAATGGGTATTGTTCTTTAATTTCTTTACATTTTCCTTGATGTTAACCAAAATGTTGTTTATACCAGACACACAAAACATACTAAACACTACTAAGTATCCCAGAAGAGAGGCACAATCAAGTAAACAACAACATACTAATTCACTGGAATATTATTTTCCACAACTCTCCCTACAGTAACACACTCATTTACCTTTCAGAAGAAAGTAATGAAACTGGGTTATCGCTCAACAACTCACCTATTTAATGTTCCAGCATTTAAGAGTTGGTCAAGAATGCACATAGGCCAATTACTTTTGTAGGAATTTGTGGAAAACAATCTGTTGTATCTGTGTGTTCAAAGAAAATGTGAGTTTTTTTTTTTTTTACCTCTTCAGGATGAATTCTCTAGTGTGCAATATGATAGTAAAAATGATTGAAAGCATTTCCAGACAGACTCCATTTACACAGCTTATTCCCAGTTCTCTAAAGCAAAATAAATGTATTGCTCTTTGTGATGAATTTTCCATACTCATTATATTAATACTAGTAACTGTTTTCTCTAATATGATTTGTTTGGTATCTAATAAGCTTAGCGCTATTAATAAGTGCTGCCCCACACTGATTACATGTTAAGAACTGCTCTCCAGTGTGAGCTATTTGATGGACTATAAATGGAGAGTTCTGGTTGAAGATAATGCCACATCGATTACATTTATAGGTCTCTTCTCCAATATGAATTCTCTGATGCTTAATGAGGTCATTCTTACGGATGAAGGCTTTCCCACACTGACAACATTCATACGGTTTCTCTCCAGTATGTATTCTCTGATGCACGATGAGAGCAGAACTCTGACTGAAGGATTTTCCACAATCATGACACTCATATGGTTTCTCTCCAGTGTGGGTTCTTTGATGTGAGTAAAGGTGAGAGCTCCGACTAAAGCATTTTCCACAATCCTTACACTCAAAAGGTTTCAGTCCAGTGTGAATTCTGTGATGCACAACGAGATGAGATCTCTGGCTGTAAGACTTCCCACATTCATTACACTCATAGGGCCTCACTCTCACATGAGTTCTCTGATGCAGAATGAGATGCGTGCTCTGCCTGAAAGATTTCCCACATTCAGGACACCCGTAGGGCTTCTCTCCAGTATGCGTTCTCTGGTGCCTAATAAGCCTAGAACTATGAACAAAAGATTTCCCACACTGATTGCACGTGTACAGTTTGTCCCCCGTATGAGCTCTCTGATGGGTAACGAGGTGAGAAAACCAGCTGAAGGATTTTCCACATTCTTTACATTCATAGGGTTCCTCACCGGTATGAGTCTTTTGATGTCCAACGAGGTGAGAACTCCGGCTGAAAGATTTTCCACATTCTTTACACTCATAGGGTTTCTCCCCAGTATGAATAAGCTGGTGCCTCGTCAGATTAGAGCGCCAGCTGAAGAATTTTCCACATTCCTTACATTCATAGGGTTTCTCTCTATGTATGCCCTTTGATATGCCAAGAGATGTACCATGAGCAAGAGAGTTACCATTATCAGGACATCGGTAGGATTTATTTCCCATGTGAGTTCTTCCACATTGAATAAGGTGAATGTTTTGACAGAAGGTTTGACCACATTCATTACTGTTGCTTGCACAGCCTTCCTGATGACCACTAAGAACTAAATCATGTCTTAAACTTTTAGTATGTGAATCGCGTTTGTGGAAATACTCTCTCAGTACTAGCTGAGCAGGAAGAAGACAATTTCCCCCGTATTTACCACTTTCACAGACCTTCTCCTGACTAAGTAATTTCTTTTGGGTGAATGCCACTTGCCTCAAATGTCTCTCCTGGTTTTCCTGATATTTGTCCAGCTGGTCTTCACATTTCCAGACTTCCTCTAATGATAAATACCAGAGATCACTGTTTGCCATTCCTTCCTTTTTAATGTCACAGGATTGCTTATCTTTAGCCATGCTCTTACTGGAAACTGATGATTTAATTTCAACTGCAGTCTCCAAATCTGAAAGAAATGAAACTTTGTAAAACTAAAGAAAAGCATTAAGGTGAGAATGGTGGGATGTATGAAGAGATAAAGTATGTGAGACATGTGTAGATTACTTTCAAATATGATTTTATAACCTTGACAAAGAATGAGAAAAGAAAGGCTGGAGCAGTAAAAAGTAAATGCATTGGGCTCTACAGTATTTAAAAGGAGCAAGAAGAGTAAGGAGGAGCACAGAACAGAGCATATGCAATCAGGGTATCCAGTGGTGAAGGCATTAATAAGAAAAATCCCACCTAAAGGACTACACCCCCACTTTCCAATCCAAACACTAACAATATAAGTTCCTAACCTGTCTACTTAGTACCAGTACTTTCCCCTAACAAACATTCTTCACATGACCCCTAATTTAATATTCTTAAACCATGAATACAGCCATATGTCAGACAATGCCTTTCATCCACATCACCAAAGCACCAAAGAACAATGCCCTGATGACGGACATAGAACCCTCAGAAAGGCTACGTCACAAGGCAGAAGAGCAGGTGCACAAAAGTTCTCCAGATACGGGTTCTGGGCTAAGCTTCACACCACTACTACCGGTAAATTTTAACAAGCTGCTGAATTTTTAAAAACTCATTTTACTTATCTGTAATGCAAGGATGATAACATTTATGTAAGATTATCGTAAGCATCATATGAAGTATGAGCCTATTACAGTCTCGAGCACACGTATGATCGAAGTAATACTATTTATAATAATCATTATTCCCATTTTCTATTATGATTCCTTGGTTCTGAGACATCAAGAGTTAATAAATAATAGGACTAACACCACACGATACTAACTTACAACCTTGAACCTTACCCATATTCTCCTGGACTTTCTCCCTGTGTCCTACCTATATGTATTACCGCAAATTATTACCCTGTTTAAGAGCTACATATGTTTCTGAATGTCTTTCAGATTTCAGATAAATGTGTGATCCTGAACATAATAAATACACTATTTCCAGAATACCACTTCTTAAACAGGTGAGCTGATATTCCCTTCCCACCCAGTGTTATGGGTTGAATTCTGTCCCCCTTCCAAAGAAGATATGTTGAAATTCTAACCCCTGGTACCTCAGAATGTGACCTTACTGGAAACAGGGTCACTGCAGATGTAATTAGTTAAGATGGGGTAGTAGTGGAGTAGGGTGAGCCCCTACCTTCAATATCGATGGCATCCTTATAAAAAGAGTAGAACAAACAGAGAGGAGAACACCACGTGAAGATGGAAACCAAGGCTGGAGTGATGCAGCCACAAGGCAATGAACATCTGGGGTTACCAGAAGCTGGAAGAGACAAGGAAAGATCCTCTCCTAGAAGCGTGGCATGGCCCCACTAACATCTCCATTTTGGACATTTAGCCTCCAAAACTGTGAGACAGTACACTTCTGCTGTTGTGAGCCACCCAATTTGTGATACTTTGCCATGTCAGCCCTAGGAAATTAATATACCTGGTAAATAATCCCTATGCCAGGCAACCTCCCTGACTTCTTCACAAAATCCCACCATCACTGGTCCTAATTTTCATTCACAACTTTGTTAGTTTCTAGTTTCTTCCCAAGCTTGATGATTTTTAACAGAAAACACACCATCCTGTCCCCCTTCCCCCCCACACCCAGCGCATCAGAAAATCCTATGGAGAAGTTTTTCAAACTACAAAAGACAACTGAAAGATTCAAGATGAAAATGTGTGTGAGGAGAGGCTGAGCACTAATGGAAACAACTCCGGAGGGGAGCACTTGAGCATGAGAATGCAGTGCTTTCTTTTATTAACATCCTAACACTCTTCCGTAACATAACCACACAAGTAAGTTATTGTCAAACTCAGCAGCCATTAATCAACTTATCATCTGAATTTTTAAAGCCATCACTCATTATACCTTCTCTTTTGATAATGAAGTTCATGGCTTTGTAGATTCCCTAAAATTCCATGTGGTTAATTAAGCACATGAAGTTTTAGTATTTTTTTTTTTCCTTGAGTCAGGATCTTGCTCTGTTGCCTAGGCAAGAGTGCAGTGGTGTCATCATAGCTCACTGCAGCCTCACAATCCTGGGCTCAAGGGATTGTCCTGCCTCAGCCTCCCAAGTATGTGGGACTACATGTGTGTGCCACCATGCCCAGATCATTTTTCTATTTTTTGTAGAGACAGGGCCTTGCTATATTGCCCAGGCTGGTCTCAAACTCCTGGCCTCAAGTGATTCTCCCACCTTGGCCTCCCAAAGGGCTAGGCAGTATTTCTTCTGACAACAAATTCTCAATAAAAATCTAAACTGCTGGATCTAGTTAACGACAATCTGCTATTTTTGGATACTTCTCAGTAGACATCCAGGAAAGACTGCTGAATGAATGAACACATAAATAGAAAAAACAAAGAAAGGAAGTAAGAAAGAAAAGAAAATAGAACAATCATTTCTCCCCTAGCCCCAAAGCTGTTAACTGATCAAGTTTTTTTAATTAAAAAAAATTTTTTTTTAGACAGCATCTTGCTCTGTCACCCACGCTGGAGGACAGTGGTTATGATCACAGCTCACTGCAGCCTCGAACTACTGGGCTCAAGTGATCCTCCCACCTCCCGAGTAGCTGGGACACCAGGTATGGGCCATGGTACCCAGCCAATCAAGATTTTAACAGTGTACTGAAAGAACTGCTTCGAGACAGGATTTTGAGATAATGACCAACAAGTCAAACATAAAAAACAATTTATAATAATAGTTCAAAGTAGAGACTTAAACTAAGTGGAAGCTCAGAAAAGGAAGGGACCAGTACCTCATGAGGAGCCATGAAAGGCTGCATAGAGAAAGAACATGAGGCAAAGAACAAGTAAGGCTCAGATAGATTTTATTTACATCGCACTAAAGCCTGAGATGCAGGGAAATGCCTGAGTGTGTACCTCAGGTATCAGCAAAACAGAAAAGATGCAGGTCATTCTCACGTGACTAGACTGCACCGGGCTTGGGAAGCTACATGTCCCATAAGAGAACACATGGTACACCTCAGCTGTTCTACACAATGAGAATTAGAGACATCTAAGATCACTGAGGGGGCAGCAGTCAGAGAATTGAGCTTAGAAACAAAGGTCAAGGAAGAGATCACTTATAGAGAATAAATGAGGGGGAATATGAAAGATAACTTTCTATTTTTTAACCTAGAAGGCACAGATATACACAAGGAAGTTGGGAAAAGGAACTATGCTTGGAAGTTACATAATGATTTGTATTTTAGAGATACTAATAAAATAAAATAGGAATAAAGTAAAAAAAAAACCACACATTAAACTAGAGTACAGCCGGAAAAACAGGTGTTCTTGAGAGCAGCAATTCTGGGAAGGAAGGAGAGTGCTGAGGCAGCAGGAATTCATGAGCCTCTTGTAGCAGTTTCCTAACTGGCAGAAAACACCGTCTCAGGTCGGAGGGAGGTGGTGGGAGATGCCCTGCAGAGTTTACATAGAGAAGAACTGAGTTGTGGAAAGGGGCCACATGAAAAGGAAAAGAAAGGCCAAGATGCAAGAAATGATTCTATGGAAAATGAGAACACGAGGTTGCTGGAGTTAGTGTTACTAGTCAGGAAAGCAACACGAGCAAGGGCTGAAACCAAGCATGTCGACAGAGAGATATAATGAAGTAGTAAGACCCCTTTGTCTCTGAATGCAGAGGTCAGTGTGACAGGAATGTATAAAGAAGTCTGGCAGTGGGGAAACAGGAGGTACATAAACTCAGTCTTCCTCTCAGAAACAAGGATCTGTAAGGAGGACCACTGACCACTATCTCCAGGGGTTCTGGCCCCACACAGCTCATCTGGGTTACTGCCTATGACGACCCTTGGTCTGGTCCTCACCTGGAGGGGTCTCTTGGTGAATCCCTCTCTCTGCCAGCCAGGGCTCTTCCCCTTTCTCCAACCGAAGGACCACATCTGGCTTAGGAAGCTGATGCCCTGTTCACAGTGAAAGATAAGGAACTGGGTGAGAGTTGGGGAAGCTCCAGGGTAGACACAAAGCAACATGTCAGATTCAACCTAACCCCCAAACCCCTTCCAGGAGTTGGGGGGACTCTGAAGAGTTGACAGTGTGAGGATGTGGAGGCAGCAAAAGAAATATGCATTTTAAAAATTCAACATATTAAAACAAGTTTCTCACAAAAGCAGTATAACAACACTGTTTTATACCCCAAAGAAATTAGGTCCCTGAAACCCGAGCCCACACTCTGATATATGCTTCAAGGTCTCTGTGCATGTTGATCAATGAGGTGATCAAAATGAATGAACCAAAACCACCACAGTGAGTGTAACTTCAAACATGGAGTTAGTCTTACCCAAGGAAAGGAGGTTCTTATAGTTCTCCAACATCACATCTTTGTACATGATCTGCTGAGCAGCGTCCAACAGCTTCCACTCCTCCCTGGTGAAGTCCACAAGCACATCGTCAAAAGTCACCAGTGTCTACAACATCAAACACATTTGCATTGAGCCTAACGCATATCTTTACTCTCCCTTTCCCGATTCCTAACATGAAGAGAAATTCAGCTGATAACACTAGGGTAGGAAAAGAGGACAGACCAGAAATTATTCTAGGAGTGACCAGTATTTATTTTGAGGGATTCCAGCCAAGTCTTTAAAGGAATAGCTATTAGGTACCTACCGTCTGAAAATGAGTTCCATTTTGTGCTTGAAGAAACTGTCAGAAGAATTTTTATTTAAATCAAGTATGTTTTAAACAGGTATAGCAGGGAGAATCAGACACCAAAAGTTAATCCATGTTTATAGTATGTGAAATGAACCCAACTCAAGGCAGGAAAAGAAGGGAAAAAAACTACTGAGTTTAAGTACGCCTTAATGCTTAAGAGACTTACCATCCTAACCACGTTTTACGACCTAAAATAATTACCCAAAACACTTTTCCTAAACATTGATAGGTATCAATAAAATGGAGAAATCAGGGAATTATATTTCAGTAGCAGCAAAACAATTTGACAAAGAACAAGAGATACAGATGGCAAGGCCTTTATCAGCCACATCAAAAAGAAGTCTTGATTGTATGTATTTAAAAACCTATCTGAGGGCCTGAGGGTTTCTTAGCAAAGACCATGAAGGTCAGAAGACAATGGAAAGCTAGGTGCAGCGGCATGTGCTGAAGTCCTACCTACTAGGAAAGCTGGGGTGAGAGGACTGATTGAGTCCAGAAGTTCGAGACTGGTCTGGGCAACATAGTCATGATGAGACTTCACCTCTTAAAAAAAAAAAAAAGACGATGACGACAGTGGAATATGTTTGTTTGTTTTTAAATGCTGAAAGAAAAGAACTGTCAAGCCAGAATTTCTAGATCCAGTGAAAATATCTTTCAGAAATGATGCAAAAACAGACATTCTCAAATAAAATAAAACCAACGGAATTTGTTGCCAGAAGATCTATTCTAAAAGATGTGCTGAAGGAAGTTCTTAAGGCAGAAGGGAAATAATACCAGAGAGAAACCTGAAATCTCAGGAATAAAGGGTGAATAACAAAAACGATAGATATCTGGGTAAATATAATAGGTTAATTTTCTTCTCCTGAATTCTTCAAAAATATATAGGACAGGCCAGGCGTGGCAGCTCATGCCTGTAATCCTAGAACACTGGGAGGCCGAGGCAGAAGGATCACTTGAGACCAGGAATTCGAAACCAGCCTGAGCAAGACAGAGACACCACAACTCTACCCCCCCAAAAAAATATGGCGGTGCACATCTGAGGTCCTAGCCTCTCAGGAGGCTGAGGCTAGAGGACTACTTGAACCCAGGATTTTTGTGTCTGCTGTGATCATCCTACGGCACTCCAGCCTGGGTGACAGAGTGAGATGCCATCTCTAAAATACACACACACACACACACACACGCACACATACACACATACGTGTACATATATATACACACGCATACACAGATACAACAGTGAAAGCAAAACTGCAACATTTTCTATTTATTTATACACACACACACACACACACCCCACCTTTAACATAAAGAGAGGAAAGTAAAGGGACCCATATGTTGTAAGCCTTCTAGATTTTACTTGAAGTGATAAAAATTAACTCTTAAGTACACTATAAAAGATTGGGTATATAAATTCAAATCCATATAGCAACCATTTAAAAAACAGAAAAATGTATAACCAAAAAGCCAAGATACAAATTAAATGAAATATTAAAAAATATTCAAATAATCCAAATAAAGGCAGTAAAGTGAGAAGGGGAGAAAGATATACAGAAAACATGTAATAAAATGACACACTTAAGTCCGATTATATCAATAATAATATTAAAGATAAATGGTCTAAACATAACCATTAAAAAAGAGATTCCCAAATTCTATTAAAAAAAAAAAAAAAAAAAACAACAAACCACAAGCCTCAACTACCTAAAAGAAAATCACATTGAAGTTAACAACCTAGAGGTGTTAAAAGAATAGAAAATGGATATACCATGGAAACACTAATCATATGAAAGCTACAGTATCTATATTAGTATCAGATGACATAGACTTCAGAACAAAGGATATTACCAGAAATAAAGTAGGACATTACACAATAATAAATGGGTGAATCTGAAAAAAAAAAAATCCCAAATAGACTGAAATGTAAAACACATACCTATAAAACTTCCATAGAAAAACATAGGAAAAAATCTTTGTAATCTTGGGGTTACTCAAAGGGTTCTTAGCAATAACATCAAAAGCATGATCCACAAAAGAACAAACTGATAAAGTAGACTTCATCAAAATTAAAAACCTCTCTTTCTCTTCAAACAACATTGCTAAGAGAATGAAAAGACAAGCCACAGACCAGGAGATAATACTTGCAAATCACATTATCTGACAAAGGACTTGTATGCATAACGTAAGAACTCTCAAAACTCAACAGTAAGAAAACAGACAAGCTGAAAACTAAACAAAAGACTAGGAAAATACTTGCACATTTTTCATAAACTTGAATATACTCTAGCCATCATTCTCTCGGCTAAGTACCTAAGAGTATGAAAATTTATGTTCAAACAAAAAACCTGTATGCAAATATATAAACCTGATAAAGGGCCTTATTTATAATTGCCCAAAACTAGAAGAAACCCAAATGTCCCTCAACAGGGAATGCATGAACAAAGCGTGGTACATCCACACAATGGAATCTACTTAGCAATAGAAAGGAACAAACTAATGATTCATGCAAAAACAGATGAATCTAAAATACATTATGGTATATGAAAGAAGCTAGAGACTACATACTGTATGATTCCATTTATATGACCCTGTGGAAAAGGCAGAATCAATAGATTAGTGGCTGCCAGGGGCTGAGGGAGAGGAGTAAGCACTGATTACAAAGGGGGAGCACACAGGGAATCTGGGGGTGATGGGTCTGCTCGGTATCTTGATTGAAGTAAGGGCTATTCGATCAACTGCATGCATCTGTCAAAAATCACAGAACTGTACTTCAAAAGGAGAGAATTTTACTGTATTATAAATTTAAAAATAAGTACAAATGTTTTAAAAGGAATGCTCTGTGAAGTCTGTACGGTAGATATCTTCTTTCATTCCCTCCAGACACCCGCTCCACCCTGTGGTTTCTAGGGAGGGTTAGCTGCACAGACTATATCGAAGTGTTCCCTTGCCCTCTGCCTTTGTCATTTATTTCAGCAACTGAGATCACCAGCTGGATACAGCAATAAAGTTACCCCAATGTGGTGGGGGGCGGGGTGCATCCTTTTGATAGATGGTAACAGCCTCTGGTCTGGCTTCCAGAACCCGTGCCTGTTCTTGCCCCTCAGGCCTGGAGGTGATGACACCCTTCCCCACTTCACTCTCATTACTCAATTTCAAGTGTGCCCATGGTTTTCCACTAGTCCTCGACTCATTCATTGTTGTTAATCGTTTCTAAGAAACTTGCCCGTTTTTAATTTAACTGGCCATCTGATTTCTGGCCTGGTGCTTTTAGCATTCCCATAAGGAATACGCTGCCCCTTCACCGGAAACACAGAAACAAAGCAAGTCGTGTGGATGCCACTGAAGAAAAGGTGTGAGAGGTGACAGTCAAGAACTGGGTTTGAAATCAGGCAGACCTGGGCCTGAACTTGGATACCTTAAATTCTAGGTTGGATGATGCTTGTTTGATTTATTTAACTTCACCAAGAGTTAGTTCTCTCAGCTGTAACATACTATCTGCCTCACTGTATTATATACACTAGCACAGTTTAGTATTATTTTAGAAGGTATACTGCCCAAGTATGCTTTGAATAACCACAATAATAATACTTTTGTGTGGCTCTCCTTCTTTGCTGGAAGTAAGCACTACTCTCACTTGTGTTATTTATTTGTTGTTTTTTCCTAAATATTTTTACCTCAGATGAATATAGCTATAAAAGAATATATTGCTAGCAGAGAAAGATTTCTGAATTTTCTGATTAGCAAAGAGTTGATCTTGTAGTAGACTCCAGTTCATTATAGATATAACAATTATCTCCTTCCCTCTATCATACCGAACTATTTTTCTATTTTTGTGTACATCTGAAAATTTTCATAATTACTTTTTGATTTTTAAATTTAATTTTTTTTAGAGACAGGGTCTCTCTGTCGCCCAGGCTGGAGTGCAGTGGTGCAATCATAGCTCACTGCAGCCTTGAATTCCTGGGCTCAAGTGATCCTCCACCCTCAGCCTCCTGAGTAGCCGGGACTACTAGGCATGCACCACAATGCCTGGCTAATATTTTAATTTTTTGTAGAGACAGAGTCTCACTATGTTGGCCAGGCTGGTCTCAAATTCTTGGCCTCAAGTGAGGCCACCCAAAGTGCTGGGATGGCAGGTGTGAGCCACCCTGCCTGCACCCAGACTGAAAATTTCCATAATAAAGAGAGGGAAAAACCAAAGCCTGCAGTGACTTCTCACTAACTCATTTTTCAGTCAATATAGCCTAACTTCTTAATACCATGTTATAATTTAGTCATAAATTATCCTTGAAAAACCACCTTCCTTAACTCGGCACATCGGGTTACAGTCTTACCTCCTCTGCAAGCTCATCAGCTCTGCCAGCCTTACCACTGATCTCCTTGTATTTGTTTCAGCTCTGCTCAGCCCCGTTAACACTGTGCACTCGTCCACAGGGAGTCCACCAGCCCCATGCCAACACAGCATCTGTGCTGCAGGCAGAGCCAAACGCACTGCCCACATGCTCCCCTCAGTTCTGTGTTTCAGCTGCACACTGAACTGCTTCTAATTCTTCAAATAGGACATTCTCTCTCAAAAACTGGAGCCTTTACAAATCCAGTTCTCTCATATTTATTCAGACAATCAAAAGTCATCCTCAACGTCTTGGCATAAATGTCATTTCAGCATTTTCTTCTGAACGTTTAAACTGTTTAAATCACCTCGTGTTAAATGCACACACCAAACACCTGTCTGGAGCACTCCAATGTGGGGCTGTGCCCTCCAGACCAGAGAACCTCAGCTCCAGTCTCACTCTGCTTCCCCAGATCACCTGGCCAGACCTGCATGAAGGAACCTCGGAGGAAGAAGCTAAATAGGCACAAGAGCCAGTCTCTCGCGCTGGATGCTCCCAGGCCACTCTGCTCCCAGAGGTTCCATCCTCCTCAGAGATCTTTGTGCCTTGGTCACAGTTACCCTTTGATAATTACATACCTTGTCCCTGAGCTCCTCCAAAAAGGAGCTCCCAGAGGAGGAATTAACACAGCCGGCACCACACCCAGCACACTCAGGGACCAGAGAATCCCTAGAGAGGCATCGACATTCTCAGTTCTCTCATTATCTTTGAGACAAGAAAGCTGGTGTCACCTCACTTGACTCCCACCCACATTACTATTAAACTTGTGTTTCTTTTGTATTAAAGGAAATAAAACTATAACTACAAATAAAGTGAACAAGCCATGTAGACCTCATCTCCTGGAGGAGAGTGTCTAAGATACAATTTCTGGAGTTCCAGGGCAAGGACTTCAGAACTTAGGCAAAAAGGAATTCCCCAGCTGAAAAACAAAGAAGAAAGCAGCCCAGCTTACCTGGGACCAGGTAGTTAGCGACTTGGCTTCCATGTTGTCCTTGTTCTTGATGGTACCTTCTTGAGTAACAGCAGAGTACTGAGAAGGCAAAGCTGAGGAGAAGAAAGAGACATAAGGAATAAGTCTGCTATGACTGGGAGGCTCCCTGAATTGTCAGCCTAAATTCCCTCATACCAGCTGTGTATGACACAAATACCCACTACAGAGAGGATCATCAGAGACATTCCAGAAGAAACTCCCCAAGATTAGGAAGAAAAGAGCTACATAAATTGCATTTTTACCCCTTCATCTCCCGGGGTTCCATGGTACATTTCATTTGGAGTTGAACAGTTCTACCTATCACTACAAATCCTCTTTTTTGAGGAAAACGTTAAAAACATAAAACCTGACCTGATCTAATATTCTCATTTACAGATAAGAAAACAAATGTTTTCTCCAACTGGATGCAGAAGAAAAGTCAGAGATTTGAAGCACAGGAGAAACGGGAGGCACCGTTCCTGGCGTGCAGGTGGAAGGTGCGGCGTGCCGTCGAAGGAGGGCAGGCCCCAGCAGCGAGGGCAGCACCCTGACAGCCGGCGAGGAAATCTGCAGCCGCGAAGACCTGATCGCTGCCAAGAAAATGAGTGAGATTCAAAGTAAATTCTCCCCCAGAGCCTCCAGGTGACAATTCGGTCCAGCTGACACCTTGATTTCAGCCTTTGGAT